TCAAGAGGTATTAAAAACACCACTTCCAAGAGTTCTCAAGAGTAAGTGATCATACAGCGTGGGCTAGGCTGGACAGAAATGCTTGAGTTTTAAGGACACCTCTCCATTACTGATGCTCTGTTGCTGTGTGCTGTCAGGCTGATTCTGACTCGTAGCGACTCTACTCATAGGACAGAGTAGAACTACCCCATAGGGCTTCCTGGGCTGTAATCTTTACAGGAGCTGACTGCCAGGTCTTTTCTCCCGTGGAGCCACTGACCTTTCAGTTAGCAGACGAGTGCTTAGCCACCGTGCCACCGGGGCTCCTTTCACTGACGCCCTAGCATAGAAGAAAGTCTATTCATCAAAATCCACCAAGACGTTTGCACTGTCTTCCTTGCAACCACACAGGAATGATAAACAGTACAGGTCAAACAATGTGAAACATTACATAACCTAGAATGTTAAAAGTCAAAGTAATGACCAGGGAGTGTACTGGGCTGAATAGTGTCACCCAAATTTAAGTTCACCTGGAACCTCAGAAGGTGACCTTATATGAAAATAGAACTTTGCAGATGTAATTAGTTAAGATGAGGTCATACTCAATTAGGGTGCATCCTAACCTAATCACTGGTGTCATATGAAGCAAGGAGAAAGGTATGCAGGGGAAGAGGCCAAGTGACAATGGAACCATAAATAGGAGTGATGCAGCTGCAAGCCAAGGAATGCCAAGGATTGACGGTAGACACCAGAAGCTAGAAAGAGGCAAGGAAGGATTCTTCCCCAGAGTCTTCAGAGATAGCATGGCCCTGCTGAAACCTTGACTTTGTACGCCAGCCTCCAGAACTGTGAAAGAATAAATTACTGTTGTTCTAAACCACCCATCTGTGGTACCCTGTTATGGCAGCCTTAGGAAACGACCGCAGGGAGGTATGGAGGAAGTCAACCAGTATCTGAAGCCAGAAAAATCAGCAAGAGGAAGAAATAGCAAGAGGGTTTGAACCAATAAGAGTTAATGATTTGAATCCTGACTCTACCACTTACTTGCTATGGGAAGTTACTGAACACACCTAAGAATCAGAATCAGTTTCCTCATCTATAAAGTGGGATACTCTCTACCGCATGGGGTCTGGGGAGGATAGAAGGAGATACCTAGCACTTAAAAATGCCTGCCAATAAAAAAAAAAAACACCCAAACCCATTGCCGTCGAGTCTATTCCGACTCATAGTGACCCTAAAGGACAGAGTAGAACTGCCCCATAGGGTTTCCAAGGAACACCTGGTGTACTCGAACTGCTGACGTTTTGGTTAGTAGCCATAGCTCTTAACCACTACGCCACCAGGGTTTCCATGCCTGGCAATGGAACTCATTAATTATTACAGACTTAGGGAAGGGGCAGGAATAAAGGGAAAACAGTGTCCACAT